GGAGCCTCTGGGTCCAGCAGACATGGCTGGGGCCACGTGCTGACCTGGGTAAGCTTCAGCTGGCAAAGTCCCAGGGCTGTTTGTAAGTGGCACTTCAGAGCTCGGCTGCCAGCTCTTCGTCCRCCCTTGCAGAGGACAGGGAATGCTGGGTTGGTCTGTTTGTCCCACCTGAGCTCTGCCAAGTGCAACAGCCTCCACCTCCAACTGTGTCAGGTTGTGTCAGGAGAGGCTYAGGCTGGATATCAGCAAAAGATTTTTCCCCCAGAGGGTGCTGGCACTGCCCAGGCTCCCCAGGGAATGGTCCCAGCCCCGAGGCTGCCAGAGCTCCAGGAACGTTTGGACAGCGCTGCCAGGGATGGACAGGGTGGGGTTGTTGGGGGTGCTGAGCAGGGACAGGGGTGGGATTGATGGGGTCCCTTCCAACTCAGGGTATTTGGTGATTCTCTGAATTGGTTTTGCTGCTTCCTCTGTCCAGCCTAAAAAACCCAAACCAACGAAGATACAGCAGCTCCTTCCCTTCCCCTCTGCCCATACCTGTTGGGGCAGGTGTATGACATAGGTGGTACTTGAAGGCATTGGCTTGGGACTGGGGCTGAGTAAAGCAGGGTGGCCATTGAGCCTCTTGCTGCTCAGCACGTGGCTGGATTTTGGAAGCAGRGATGTGCACACACAGCCTGCCCCTGGCAGAGGAAGGGATGTGTGTCCCGTGCTTTCCTCATGCCCGAGATGCCACACCAACTTCCCTGAGGAGGGCAGCTCACTGGGTCAGGAGAAAAAACAGTTTGAAATGTATGGCTGCTCTCCTTAAATCACCTTGGAAGAACGCAGACGTGCCCAGCTCCTGGCATCTCTATTTTTACTTTGTGCAGAGATGGATATGGCTGAGCTGTCTYCTTTTATTTCCAGCATTTGGCGCATGCTGCAGCGTGTTGTTAAAGATGTGTCTGGCTGGATGCGGAGCTGCCCACTTCCCCGAGTCCCTGAGGGACTGCAGGGGTGAAGGGCTCTTGCCTTCTGCATGGCTTCATCATTCATTGCTTCCCTGCTTGCTGCTCTTTGCCTCCCCCTTCCACTCCCTGCACAGTTTTTGGACTTTGTTTTTTTTTCCTGTGTTTATTCAAATTGGCCTGGGTAAACAGGGAACAGGAGGGAGGTGACTGGGGCCACTGGTAGCACTGGATTCCAGAGGCGTTTTTAATGGGTTTCTAACAACTGGAACTGGCCTATTCTGATGCAGAAACTCTTTTTATTTTCTTTATCCACAGCTTGGCAGTTCTAAGATTTCCTTGGAAAGGCCCAGACTGTGCATTTTGCTTCCTGACAGGCAGGCTGACAAGCTCTGTGCTCAGATGGCTTCATTGCAGCAGCTCTGATAGTGTTGGTTTTGCCAGGTCTGTCCTGACAATGCTGTTTTTAGCTTCCAGCTGCCCCAGAGCCATGTGCCTGAGCTGTCCCTGTCACACCCCCYTGTCCCTCCTCCTGCTGGTGGACAGGAGCCTGGACAAGAGAGAGCCAGGCAAGTCCCCAGTATCTCCCTCTGCCCATGGGATACTCATGGAGCGGCTGATTTCATGATTCACTGCTCCAAAACCTGATTAGGAGTGAGATAAATGGTTTGATCTGTCAAACCAGGCAATTCTGAAACCACCCAAATAACCTGGCCCTGTAGCTGCCAGRCTTTCCTGCTCTGGGGATGGAATCAGGGGACTCTCTGGTTGTCCTGAAGCTGCTGCCCCCAGCATCACCCACCCTGTGGGGGCCTGGGGATGTGCTGGCTCCTCCGTCCTGGGGGATGAGGTGGGATATGGAATCCCTGTATGCAGCCACAGCCCCACTGTCAGCTGTGGGGCWATAGCTCAGAGCTGTTGTCCACCCATTTCCCCCTCAGTGAGGTGGGGGGAGCTCATGCATCTGGAGCAGGTTGGAGGAGATGCTCCACAACAAATCTCTGCCCCCTGAACACTCCAGGGCTCATCCTACGTCTGGTGACTTGGTGTGCCTGGTGATAGAACACTGAGCATTTTGGGGAGCGTAGAAGGAAGGAGAGAGTGAAATTCCTTTCAACTTGGCAGCTTGAAATGCTGCTTTCTGTCCTTTGGGGCTGGAATGGCATGTGATGGTCAGGGAATGTGCCTGGGAGGGCTGCCCTTGGTGGGGATGAAGGACTGGAATCCCTTGGAACCCCTGAGTTCTCCCTCCAGGGACTGTTCCTGCTGGGCTGTGGCCATGCCAGTTTGGGATGTCAGCTGACAGCTTCTGTGCTGGAAAACTCCTTAGCAAGCCATAGAGGGATTTTTGGACGCCGTCTGACTTTAACCCTAACGCTAACCGTGGCAGCAGGGCCCACCAGCCAGGGGCTGGCTCTGAGCGTCAGACTGCAAACCCACCGCCTCTGCTGGCTGAGTCTGCATGCCGTGGGAAGGGAGCTGGGCCAGTGTGTGTTCCTGAGCCTTCCACCCACCTGCCTCCCTGGAACAGGAGAGCCTCGGCACCGCAGTGCAGCAGCGGGCTGCAATTAGAGCCTGGCGGCCCCTTATCTGGGCGTCACAACAGATGGTGGTGATCTATAAACTCCTGTGCTGCAGGAGGGCTGAGGGGGAGCCTGCTCAGGGGCTGCTGCTCCTGAACATTCAAGGATGTTCAGGATTCAGTGTTCACAAGGATGGGAACATTCCCCAGTCTCAGTTGGGTTTTTGCTTGCTCGCATCTCCTGTGTGAAAATGTGGGAATGGAGCGGGTGAGTCTGGTGGATTTGATGGATCCATCTACGTAATGGGGGCTAACTCAGAGCAGGACAGGTTTGTTGTGAGCCCAGAGATGTGGCAGTGTGTCCAAGGTGGGAGCATGAGAGCTGGTGTGTGGGTACACAGGATGCCAASCTGCTAAAACCACTCCCTGCTCCTGATGCTGAGAGCCCTCCATGGCTTCGGCTCTGCCATCTGGCAAAAGAGAGTTTTAGATGTCACCTGTGAGGGTGGGGAGAGTTTGCTGTGATGGTTCACCTCAGGAGGGCACCTGTGTCTGCTCAGGTGTGCTCTGTGCTGTGGTGAGGTGTTCCCATCCCAGGCTCACCATCCTGTTCTTCCCCTGCCTTGGAAATGCCGAAGCACATCACAGACACAAACAAGCCAGTGATGTGTCAGCATCGCTCCTCTGTCGATGTTTGCTTAATGAGAGTTGGCGTCTGGAGCTGCTCATCCTTTGTCCTTGAGTGTAGAACAACACTCAGACTGCAATGGGCTCTTCATCTCAYGGTCCTGATCAGCTGTGAGGGCATGGTAGGACATCTGATGGGGGGAGGCTGCTCTTCCTCGTGGGATTGCAGACTTTGAATCTTGAGGAGCTCATTCTACCTGGCTGCATGTAGCAAAGCATCCCCTCACTGGGACTGGGGTAAGAGTTGTGTGTTCCCCTGGCAGAAAGGGCTGGATTTGGGGTTCTTTCCGCCCTGTCTTGAGTCAGTGTGAAAGGCAAGGTCACACTGGCCAGGCAGGTGCTCTGGAGAGCTGTTTGAGGTGGATGCAAGCAGCACAACTTGCAGCTCTCCGTGTTTGGGTAGGTGGGTGGAAGTGATGATATCAACAGGGCTGAGAACACTTGTGGATGGGAGGGGGAGAGCTCGAGGCCAAGGCAAACCAGCCACCTGCTTCCCAGGGAGATGCTTCCTGTGGATGCAGCTGGAGTACAGGGCAGCAGATGGGTCAAACAGGGAAAAATTCTCTCTGGTGGATCCTGTCACCTTCCTGCCCGCAGAACTACTCACCTGACAAGTGGGGTAAGGGAGTTGTGCAGGCTTCTTTAAAGCTCTTGCAGAATCTGATGGGATTTGGGGTGGGAGATGCTGAGGCTGGGGCAGCCCTGAAAGCTCTGTTTGTGCCACGACAGGTCTGCTATGTCCTCCCTGCGTGGGGGTAGCACTGCAGATCATCTCCTGCCATGCAGCAAGGCCGGTCTGTCACGTCTGCCTGTCCCTGAGGTCCAGTGTCGACATCAGAATCTAATTTCAACCTGCTGAGTACTGGCCAAGCCTAACTGAAAATGTCTGTGGGGAGCTCCTCGAAGAGCCACTTAGCTCTTTTGAGCCTCACTGCAGGCTGAGCTCTGGGGTGACTTTCTCCAGGCAAGGCACAAACACAGCTCAAATGACTGTCCTTGCTTTTGGGAGGGTYGGATGGCACCTCTGGCTGTGTGGCTTTGCTGTGTCTCTAGCAGAGGAGGAAGCCACTCCCTTGGAACTGTTTGGCTGCTGGGAAGCGACGTGTGTATCAATATTTTGGAGATCCTGATGCAGGACAAATGTTAATGGGCAAAGTGCTTTTGCTGCAAAGCTTTGCAGTTGAGACTGAACCCAGGATTCTTGAGCAGGCTCCCAGGGATTGGGAATGTCCTCTGAGAGCAGCAGTGCTGTGAACTTGAGCTTGTCCAGGCTGTACTGGGTGGTCCAACTCTCTGCTGCTGCTTCAAACCAGGCTGTACCCCCTGTTCAGCTGGGTAAAGGGCAGTGACAAATGTGTCCCTCCTCCCAGGGACAGTGGGGCACTCGGGCTGGCTCCCTGTGGGGTGGGAGGCAGCTGAGCCCTTGGCTGCTCATCCCTGTCTGTCCAGGGACASCCAGGGCACTCCAGCCACAATGCCAAAGCTGGTGCATGTTTTGGGAGGGAACACTGCTTCATTTGGGGGAAAACTAGAGAGGTTTATGTGTCAGGAAGTTGGAATCCCTGCGGAAAAGGGCTTTCACAGTGCAGGGAAGCCAGCTCGAGGACTTCAAAGGTGATTGTATCAGGGAATAGCACGGGGATAGCAGGGAGTGTGCAATAGTGCTGGGAATGCTGGAAAACATGCTTTTGGAATGAAAGCATGACCTGATTCCTTTGCTCCATTTTCCCACCATGTGTGTGTTTTCTGGAGGCACTGCTCCTGCACAGCACAGTACTTACAGCAAGCCTGGACCTGAGRTTTTGCTTTCTCCCCATGCTGATGTGTGTCCTGTCTCTCCACAGCCATCAAGGTGAGCTGCATTGGATCCTGTGGGGTGTCCARCAAGATCAACGACACAGCATGGACTGTGGAGGAGCAGTACTTCAACAGCACGCTGTCCCTGGCAGACAAAGGTACGGCCCAYGGAGGCCTGGTGGAGACCTGTGGCTCTGAGATGCTTTACAGAAATGTGTCACCAAGACTTCAGCATCCCCTCGGTGTGAAATGCCCCTCACAGGCTGCCTTGACCTGTGCACAAGAGGATGGGAACTAGTGTTGGAGACTCTAAGAGCTTAGCAGGAGCCGTGCAGAGAATGATCCTGAGCAGAACTTGGCAGCCACTCTGCAAACCCTGCTGGCATCCTCTGGCCCCGGGCTGCCTGAAGCAGGGCTGCCAGCAGTGCCTGCTCTCCTGTCTCCAGGCTCTGTGGGTTCACCCTGCTCCGCTGCCTGCGGGTATTGTTCATGGTGGTCACTAAACACTGATCAAAGCTCATCAGCAGGAGCCAGTGGTTTGCTCTGAGAGGGACATGGAGGTGTCACTTGTGCTCCAGGAAAAGTCCTGGGAGYATGGCAGGACCCGCCTAGGACAGTCACTCCTGCTCCCGGTGAGATGGACAGAGATAGCGATGGGGTTGTATTGTCCTGTGGGTAAAGTGACACCAGCAGCCTCTGGGGGATCTGGGCCTGAGTGAATGCTGTCTTTCTGCTATTAAATAGGTCAGCCTTAGCACAAATAATTCATGCTGTGCCCTGGCTCCTGGTAAAGTCAAGATGTGCCAGTATTCACCTGCTGAAGGCAGTGGCTGTAAAGGGAACATGACAAAAGCCCAGGGTAGCAGGATCTCAGCCCCCTGATACAGGATCTCAGCCCTCTGATACAGTTTTATCTAACAACAGGAAATGGGTAAAACTGAAATGGCAGTTTCTGCTAGCTCAGCGAATTTCCAAGCAGAGCTTTTAGCATCGAGGGGAGACTGAGCTCATCCTCACAGCAACTGGTGAGAGTGCTGCTTGCTCTCAGGTCCCTGCCAAGGGAGACAGTTGGCTGACTGGCTCTTGGCTCATGGCCTGGGGRCTGCAGTCAGAGATAAACTGCCTTGGAGGGCAATGGGAAAGGTTCCTGCCCGATTCTGGATGTGCAGAGCACAGAGAGCCCAGCTGTGAATGCTGGGGGGTCCAATCACAGAGGCACTGTAAGGTGCTGCAAACCCCTGGGCTTTGAGTTGGGAGCTGTAGGCTGTGAGTGAGTGTGGGCTTGTGAAGAGCTTTAAACCTGCAACTGCACTGAAAAACGCTCCTTCCAACTTTTGTTTCTACTATTTAATGATTCAAGGAAGAGCTGTGATATTGTGGTTAATTTGTCCTGGTCAAGGTGAGCAGTGGCAAAAGCCAGGCAGGAGGGTGGAGTGGGAAGAGGAGGGTGTGCTGTGTGTTGGGTTTGCTGCCTCTGGAAGACTTTGAGAGCTGCTTTGGCAGTCCTTGTAAGGCTGGCCTTGGKAGCCATCCCCTTGGTAACTAGGAACTGACAAGGATGGAAGATGTGCTGAAGTGTGCCCTTTGAAGGCCTGACATCCAAAGAAGGCCAAAATTTGGTATTCCCAGTTCTTGAAGTATTTGTAGAAGCCCTGGTCTTTTGGCTCTTGGTGTTCTGGGACCCAGGCTCCTGTGCACCTCCAGGGCATTGCTGTTTTCTGTCACCCACTGGTATCACAGGCTCTGCCAGCCCTGAGCGGGTGCCTGGGGTGGCAGCAGGGCTGGGCTGCTGGCTCTGTGCTGGAGCTGGTCACAGAGCCACGTGCCTGGGCTGTGAGTGGGACTGAAGGGGCCAGCTGATGTCTCCCAGAGCTGCCACAGCTCCAGGCAGCTGAGGCAAGAAACAGCAGCGTGTGACTTAGCTGAGGTGTAATGAATTGGAGGGAAAATCTGTCTCTGTAGTTGTGTGATCAGAAGCTGAGGTGTGTTGTGCTGTCATTCCTGTCCTGCCTTGCAGGGCTGCAGTGAGATTCTGAGGCAAGCCCAGCCCCAGCTACCTGCAGTTGCTCTGGAGCAGTGTGCTGGGCACTCACAGTCGCTGACCTCGGCTCTTCAGCTTTTTGTGTCCAAAAAGTTACGTGGACACAACTGCTGGGAGCTCTCAGCCMGATTCCCAGCTGTGGGGAAGCAGATGGGGAGAAGGTGGGCAGCCCCTGTGTGTGGGGTTGTGGCCCAGGGGAGTGCTTGTGAGGATTTGCCCTCCAAGCACAGGAATTGCTGTTCTGGGCTTGCAGGTGTATTTTTTGTCTGCCCTCAGGCAGCACGGCCAGGCCCCTGGGAGGATGGAGATGGAAGGGACAGTGTCCATGGTGCCTTTGGGCCCGAGTCCACCAGCAGAGATGGCTTTGCAGCTGACCCTTGCATTTGCTGTGCTGGCTTGCAGGGATGTGGAACAAAAGCCCTGGGGGYTGGCAGCGCTCCAGCCTGCGGCACGGGGACACAGAGAGCTGTCTGCTGTCACAGCCCTCACTGTGACATTGATGCATGTCTGGGCTGGCGGAGCAGAGGGAGCTGGGCTGCTTTTCCATGTCCCTGCCTCTGCCGGTGCCTGTCTGCCTGTCTGTCTGTCTGTCTGTGTCCTGYRAGGGGCTGCTGGCYGGGCAGTGTCCTGGCACAGCTSWGCCCTGCACTGAGGTGGTGGCAGGGCAGTGTCCTGGTGGTGGCAGGGCAGTGTCCTGGCACAGCTCAGCCCTGCACTGAGGYRGTGGCAGGGCTGTGCTGGGGGAGCTCTGCCATGGCCTTGTGCAGGCAGAGCCTCGGCGCTGACTCAGCCGTGGTGTTTTTAGGCTTTCCAGGAATAGCTCTCAGCTGTCCTGGCCTTTCCTGAAGAGAGCATGAAGGAGTTCCAGACAGACGGAGTGTCCCATGTGGGTGTTCCCTGGGTGCCTCCCTGCAGGGCTGACAGCCRGCTGGGAGGGGAAACTGAGGCAGGCTGGACTCCTGGCTCTTGGGGCACGGGATGATGAGGTCGCTGATGGTGATGGCAGGAAGGAGCCCAGATGAGGGTGAGTTAAGGGAGTTGGAAGCATTTCCAAGCAAGAACTCCTGAAGGAGTGTGAGGCCAGCCTGGCCACTGGCCCACGCTGCCAGCACACAGCTCCTTCCCTGGCCAGCACCAGCAGCCACCAGTGACAGCACCAGGAGCAAAGGTCACTGTGATGGCAGCTGGTATGGTCCTGCACGTGTGTAAGAACCATGGAAAACTGCCCCCAGGGTGAATCCGTGCCTATTCCTCCAGGCTGTGCCCACCTCACCTGCTCCCACCAAAAAGCAAACAGCAGAAGGGAGGGCAGGGCTGTGGGCGGCCTTCCTGCCATGCCCCCAGAGGAGACATATCCACACAGGGGGTAGCACTGCCTGAACATGAATGGAGGAAGAGGAGGAATTTGTTTCTGCCACAGCACACTCCTCTGTTCCTGCCTTCCCTCCACTACAGTGATGCAGTAACCTCTTCTCTTTGGACAAATGCAGTAAAAGAAAAAGGTGAGGATCAGCATGTCCCTGCTTGGGGGAAACGGGCAGCCAGGGTGTGCCCTGGGGAAAAGGGTGATGCCAGGCTGTCCTCTGACCCCATCCTCAGCTCATCCAGTCTGWCAGCATTGGCTTGGAAGAATGCCAGGTGTCCCCAAGGCCACACAGCAAACAGGGCTCTCTCTTGCCCATCCTTGGTGAGTGGCTCTGCTCCAGTGGTGCCACCRCAGCACTGGCACCTGTGGAGGTGGTGCAGGGAGTCAGGCTCAGCCTGAAAAACAGCCTGCCTCRCTCTCTCCCTTCCCACATCCTGAGCAGCAACTTTACAAAACACTGATCAGTGCTCTTTGAGGACACGTGGGGGGAAGGGGAGAGGAGGTTTGCAAAACTGCCGAGGCTCAGATTGCTCTTTAAGCCTCCAAGAGTGACTCCACACTTCTCCTCCCACACACCTATGAATTGAAATCAGTGAGGGGGCAGCTTGTCCTCTGTGGCATCAGCCGCTGCTTGTATTACACAGGGCTTTGGGATTTTTCTTAAGGCTGTACATTGCATGAGCAAGGAGGACGGCCCTCAAATAACCCAGATGCCCACTTTGGAACTTATTTAAGGCTCTTTCCCTTCTCACCCTGCCTTGGAACAGTATCCAGGCTGTGGAGGTGGATGTTGCTGGATGAGGACCTGGATGTTGCTGCAGAGGACCCTGCTCCCCTCGGGGCTGTCCCCACTCGAGCAGGGCATCCTTTGTGCTCCAGGAAAGGCTCTTGTGGGGCTGAGCAGGGCTTGGAGGAGCATGCAGCCGTGAGGAGCAGGGGATTGTGCCGTAGCCTTGGCAATCACACACAGGCCAATGCTTTAATGAACTCGGGCTCTTTACATAAAAGCTGCTGGGAAGTGTGGAGTGTGCCAGCTGCTCTGGAGCCTCTCTCTGCTCTGTTTGCTGGAGAGTGCTGCTGTGCCACAGAGGTCACTCAGCCCACRGGGGGCTCCCAGGGGGACTCGTCATTTGCCTCTTGGAGGGGAGGCTAAGARGGTATTTACTTTTCCCACTTGGACTTTGATTGCTGGCTGGTGTTGRTTTTTCTTTTTGCAAAGAAATGCCAGAGGGGTGGGGGCTGCTGGGTTTCTGTAGGTGTCAGCAGCACAGGGGATCAAGTGGCAGTGAGCACAGAATGGCACCACTTGTACCCACTGCTCTGGGACACAGAGATGCTTCTCTTGATCCGATATAATGGAGTGATTCAGCTCTGTGGAGCCTCCTGCTCCTCTCCCCCTCCCTGCTGTGGCWCTGCCCTTGTTCAGCCAGAGAAGAGCAGGTCCATCATGTGCCTGTACCCCCATGGGGCTGTCCCTTCCCTGCATCTCCAGCTGCACTCACAGCTCTTGCCTTGTGGAAGGGTTGTGCCTGCAAAGGTAGACTTTTGTTCTTTTYATTCCCTCCTTGTACCTGAGTTGAACTCGTGCAGGGAGCTGGCTGTAATTTCCAGCTGACCTTTCTTCTGGCAGCTTGTTACTTAGCTTGAAGGCGCTGCAGGGATTTCCTGGCAGCTCCACACGCTTCCTCTGCTGGCAGATTTCTTGCACAAAGAGCTAAAAAGGGGCAGCTGTGCATCACCTCTTCCCTGGG